ACTTAAGCGAAATTTGTTGTCCATAAACATGTTTGATGATCTTGGCTACTGCACTAGAATTGAACGTTGGGTCTTGAGAATTTCACATAGTGAATTAGTAATAGCTAAATGATCCAAAATGTGTGGGTTGTATATTTTGGATAGTTCCACTATTATTGTTCATGCATCAGTAGCTAATCAAGGCCTTCTTGATAAATCTAAGTTGTGGCATTTGAGGTTAGGGCATATAAGTGAAAGAGGTTTAGTTGAACTTGCTAAACAAGGTTTGATATGGAGTGAGAAATTAAATAAACTAGAATTTTATGATAATTGTATTCTAGGAAAACAACACATGGTGAAGTTTGAGAGTGGTGTGCATAGTTCTAGTAGACCTTTTGAGTATGTTCACTCAGATACATGGGGTTCGGCACGGGTGGCAACTCATGGGGGTGGGTTCTATTTCCTTTCTATTATTGTTGGTTTCTCTATAAGAGCATGGGTCAACATTCTGGAAAGTAAATGTGACACATTTGAAAAGTTTACTGAATGGTACACTCTTATAGAAAATCAATTGAAAACTAAACTGAATGTATTAAGAACTGACAATGGCATGGAGTTTATTTTAGATAAATTTAATGAGTTGTTACAGAAAATAAGGTATTAAGAGGCATAGAATCGTTGTTGGAACGCCTTAATAAAATGGCTTAGCATAACACATGAATAGAACCATTTTGGAGAGAGAGTGAGAAGTATGTTGCTAGGAGTTGGGTTATTCAAGAGTTTATGGGATGAAGCCGTTACTACAATAACTTACTTGATCAACAAATGTCCATCCATATGAATAAACTTCAATACACCTGTGGAAGTTTGGAGTGGGAAACTGGTAGACTACTCAAATTTTAATATTTTAGGAGCCTTGGAGTTTACTTATATCAAGCAAGACATACTTCATGCTAGGGTTGTGAAGTGTGTCTTCATTGGTTATCCTGAAGGAGTGAAAGATTACAAACTATGGAAAATAGATCATGGAGGATCACAATTTATCATAGGTAGAGATGTTACTTTTGATGAGACCCATATAAGGATAAAGTGCAAAGAACTAGGTGTTAAAGAATAAAAAACTATGGTGGAAAAAACTAATTTTGAGGTGGAGGTTCCTACTAGTGAGACTAGAGATGAGGAGGTAGTAGAGACTACTATTTCTAGTACTATTGAAGGACAACATACAATGTCTCCTAATTATCAGTTGGCTCATGATAGAGTTAGGAGGGAGACTGTACCACCTCAAAGGTACGATTATGCTGATCTTATTTGTTATGCTTTGAATATGGTTGAATGGCTGAAAGACTCAGAACCTAATACCTTCAAGGAAACACTGCAAAACAAAGATAGTCAAAGATGGTTGGTTACAGTAAATGATAAGACGAATTCACTGATGAAGAACCATACTTGGGAGCTTGTAAGACTACCTAAGGAAAAAAGGGTGGTTGGATGTAAGTGGATTTTCAAGAAGAAGGAAGGTATTCCATGAATTGAAGAACCAAGGTTTGAGTCAAAACTTGTAGCAAAGGGTTTCATTCAGGCGGAATGGATTGATTACAATGAAATTCTTTCACCTGTGGTAAAAAATTATTCTATAAGGGTACTTATGGAAATTGTAAATCAATATAATCTTGAGTTAGAACAGATGGACGTCAAAACAACTTTCTTACATAGAGACCTTGAAGAGACAATCTACATGGATCAACCTAACTATTTTTTTAAAAGATAAGGCTAAGGTATGTTTGTTGAAGAAATCTTTGTATGGGTTGAAACAAAGCCCAAGGCAGTGGTATCATCGATTTGATGAATTTTTTCTTAAAAATAGTTTTGTAAGAAGTATTTATAATAGTTGTGTATACATATTGAAGAGGAGTGATAAATTCATTATTTACCTTCTTCTATATGTTGATATTCTAATGGCAAGCTCTAGCAAAAACGAGATCGGTAAGCTCAAGAAGATCTTGAATAATGAATTTGATATGAAAGATCTGGGTGAGCTAAAAGAATCATGGGTATGGATATCATGAGAAGCCGCAAGAAAAATGAATTGTTCTTATCTCAATATAGTTACTTGAAGAAAATGGTGGAGCGATTTAGAATGTAAGATGCTAAAATTGGCAACACTTCTTTAGGTCATCACACGAAGCTTTCAGTTAAACAATGTCCTCAAACTAACGAAGAGAAGAAGATAATGGAGATCACTTCCTATATAAGTGGGGTTGGAAGCACTCTATATGATATGATTTGTAGTAGATCAGACTTAGCATATGCAATTAGTATAGTAAGTCGATTTATGTCAAATATTGGTTAGGTTCATTGGGAAGCTTTGAAGTTGGTATTAAGGTATTTGAATGGTACGCTAAAGGGTGGTTTAAAGTACACAAAGTCAACTCAAGAGGAAGACGCTTTGGAGGGTTTTGTAGATTATGACTATGTAGGTAATGTGGAAAATAGAAAATCCTTATCAGGTTTTGTGTTTACATTGTTTGGGACAATTATAAGCTGGAAGGAAAATCGACAATCAGTGGTCACATAATCTACTACTCAAGCAGCATATATTGCCCTTGTTCAAGGGGTAAAGGAAGTCATATGGCTGAAAGGCATGGTTGGGGAGTTAGGGATTACTCAAGAATGTGTGAAGATAAATTGTGACAGTCAAAGTGTCATTCACCTGGCCAATCATCAAATTTATCATGAGAGGAGAAAAAACATTGACATCCATTTACACTTTATAAGGGACATGATAGAATCAACAGATATTCTTGTTCAGAAAGTGTCATCGGAAGAGAATCCAGCCGATATGTTCACCAAAGCATTTCCAAGATCATGGTTCAAGCATTGTTTGGACTTGATCCAATTTATTGAAGAATGATTCCAGCTTTGGAGAGAGCAACAAGGTGGTTGGTGGTTAAATAGGTATCATCGTCGGTTTAAAGTCAATGTAGAGAGTTGTTGTAATATGCCTTAAAACCTCAATTGAAAAAGAGAAAGAAAATGGACATATTTTGGTATTAACAATTTTGGGCTTGTTTGTGGATCCGTTTATTAATGGATCATATCTTAGGCCCATTAATATTTTGTTAGTTATAAATATGGGGGTTTCTCTCATTTGTTAGTAGAGAGTTTACAACAAAAAGGTAGAGAAAGGGATCGGGGTCTTCTCAAGGGAAATCTTAGAAATAAAAAAGTTTAGGGAAACCTTTGGAGTTGTTTAAGATTATTGAGAAACACTGGTTACACCTTGAGTTTGAATTATTCATATATTGAGAGTTGGAGAGGTTGAAAAAATCTTGGGGATAGAAAATAGAGGTTTGTACTTGGGAACTCTGAAGGTGAATACTATTTTCTTGTAACTCATCTGTAATCTCTTATAACAACTTTCTGGGTATAATGAATTGGAGAGATACTCTCTCCCCAGACGTAGATCATTTGATCGAACTGGGTAAACAATTTCCTTGTTTTCTCGTCTACTATTATTTTTATTACTTAAGGTCATTTTTTTAGTTGCTACTATTCTTTGCCTCACATATTGAAATTTAACCTTATCGTTAATCACAACAATAATAAATGAATTTAGCCACTTTAGGCTTTAAATAAAAATCTTTTTCAATAGTAAATGTCTAGAAATCTGCTTAAACAATTATGAGAAAGTTAATTTGCCACAATTCATATTAAAAGTTAAATAAATAAAAAGTCACCATTTTTACTAAAATAACTTGTAGCCATGTCTTACAATATCTATTTCGTTCACTCAATTTAATTGTCCAATTATTTCCACTTTCTATGACAAAAAGTCTTCGATATGAAAGTGGAGAAACATCTAAATTTTTTCCATAATTCTCATGCTCCTTAGGAGGGGCTGCGAGCATCTATATATTTTTCCATAATATATATCATTTAGGGAGAGTTGGATCCCCATAAGTGATAGCAAAGACATGGTTCAATTTGGTTAGGGAGAGAGATGGATCATATGTTAAATTCTGTTATACGATGTGAGAACTCACATATACATGAAAGATTATTGGCTACAAGTATGAGTGGTTATGTCTCATATCACCTATGCATGAGTCGAATATTAAATTTATAAGAAAGATGATTCATATACCTAATGCCTTAAGATTTTCAGTGAATATACTATGTCTATATCACTTGCGTAATTATTCTTAACACATTGTGAATGCTTGTCTCATGACCCATCTTCTTTTCACCTCTTTGTAGATGATAGTAATGGTATATCAACAATTCTCAAACTGTTTCCTCATGGTGCATGATTAAAAAATTTAGTAGGATAGCCATAATGTCCTACTTAGGTAACAATATAACTATTTTGAAGTATAAACAAACAATAATACTATACATATATGTGTAATAGCCTATTATGAGTGATACCCACCTTTATACTGCCAAAAAAAAAAAAATAGTTATACAGGTCCAAGAGAAAATAACAATTTTTTAAAATTAATTAACAATGCTTTATAGAGATGATGTGATATTGAAACTTCATTTATTGTTGTATACTATATATGAACATGTAGGGAAATACCTTTGGAAAAGAGGCCAAATAAATATAACATATATATAAATATGATATGTCACCAATTACATATCATATATGAAAACTGCTCAAGTATATTTATATTAAATTTATTTTTTCTTACACATTGTTTACCTTTTATTATAGTAAATCTAGTTTGAAATCTATTTCAATTTGAGTTTCATATTTATTAGGTGGTAAATTATACACTATCTCATTTTTTGTTAGAAAAAAATGTATAATTATCTATAATTATATTTTTAGGGTTTTATATGAAATGTGAAAAATATATGCAAATAAAAATAAAGATGTATTTTAATGTTTATATAAAAATGTTACACATTGTATCATTATATAGAACCATCTAAATATTCTTCACTGTAAAAACTTTTCACTGTTGGATGATTCAATGATCTTGAATATTTATCATTCTTAATTTCTTTAGTCAATCCATTCCATCATATTCATGTTGCTTCCTCTCATTTTTTCTTTTCTTTGATGTTGAACCTTTCACCTGATACAAAACAATTTATGTTATTGTGATGTTGAAACATATATATTTTCATTGAATAATTATTTCTTTGAATGTTAAATATAATATACATCACATCCACTAGAATTTTCAGTAAACTTTTTCTCCTTGCTTTTAGGTTTTAGGTGAGCTTCATAGAGAATAAAGTTAGCCACTTCAGGCTTCGAACGAAATTGCTTGTTTGAGGGTAAATGTGTAGCATTCTGTATAAAAAATTATACATAAGTTAATTTATCACAATTCATTCGAAATGTTAAATAATTAAATCATATTAAATTTTTACTAAAATAATTTGTAGTCATATCTTACAATATCTATTCGATTATCTTCCCGTTTTCTCAATTGAATTTTCCAATTATTTGCTCTTTCAATGACAGAAAATCTTCGATCTGCAACTGGAGTAATATCTATATCTTTTCCATAATTCTCACATTTCTTAGGAGGGACTGCAAGTATCTATTGAAAATTTTCCATAGTATATAACGTTTAGATTTTTTTTTTTTGTTGCATAATCATGAAACAAGAAAGCAATGACATATATTAAATGGAAAAATAAAAATGAGAGTTGATAAAGGAAAGCTAATATTTAAGTCTCTTTGTTATAACTTTTTAAAAAAATTAGATTTGAAATAGTTCATGTTTTTGTTAAAAAAAATTTAAAAGTGAAAATATGCTTAAATCTCTTTTGGAAGATGTTAAAATAAAAATGATTTAAATATTAATAGTGTAAATATTTTTAAGAATAATATAAACTATTTTTTATTTATTTGAAGTTATTATAAAAATTTAATATTTTCTATATATTAATATTTTAATAAATATATATATTTCTACATGTATACACATAATAAATCAAAAATAAAATCTAATACTGATGTTTACCCTTTCAATGTTAATTTTGCTGTCGTAACAAAAATGTGGTAGTTCAAAAGAAGCCAAAATTGGTCCCAACACCACGTTTTTTATTTCCCTTCCTCTTTTCTTCTTCTACAAAAATGAAACCATCATATAAATTATAATTAATAATACACAGTGAAAAAACTTCTATTCAAAATTTATCTTTCTTATAAAGTTTATAGATATAGTTATAAGTTGTTTTTTTTATACCAAATACATATATTAAAATAAAGAAAATAGTATAAAAGATATTTAAATTTATTCTAAAAATAATAATGAAACAACAGAAAACTTAATAAAAAAAGAATATATGCCAAAATACAATAAAATAAAATAAAAAGCAGATATAAGAAAAAAGAAAAGAAAAAGCGATAGATTATCATCAATTCAAAGAGAGAAAAAAAGGATTCAACAACTTTAATAATTTTCAAAATTAAGAGTTAGCGTATTTACTTCACTTGCACCATCGTCTTTAAATACAACTATAGCCAACCGATGCTCTCGATCTTCACTTACTTCTAATTTTCTTAATTCCTGAATATATATCTGATATCACAAAAAAAAAAGTTAATTAGTTAATATTTCATTGAAAGTAAAATAAAAAATCAAATGTGTTGGATCTAAATTTCAGACTAAATACATTGAATAATTTAAATTTGTGCATATATTTTACATGAAAAGGTATGTCAATTGTATACATTGTATAATATGAATTAACAAGGAGATTAACTATAAGAGTGACTTACATTAATTTGCTCTATAATATAATCACCAATTTGATCGGGCAGAGTCTTATAAAAGTTGAGTGGTTTCACTATTAGCACTTGTTTTCCATCCCTATAAATATATTCTATAAGTTCTTGCTCCTCCAAAGTATGCTCTTTGTGATCCATAATAATATTGAATGAAGAAAAGATAGTAAAATATCGAAATATGTGAGAAAGATAGAGAACTAGAGGTGTATTGTGCATAAGTATCACACACAAGCATATATATATATATATATATATATATATATATACTCTAGAAAATGGTATAAAGTTGTATTTGCGTAAATAAAAGGAGCAGAATTTATGGTTTTTTTAGACTTTTAGTTTCAATATATTTGTTTTCTTTTTGAGATTAAGAAAAATCACATTGCCAATATAAATATAAAAGTTTTTTTTTTTGGTTGTAGTTTTTCTAATAATAGCTTTCTTTTGCCAAAATTAAAGTGCAATAAAAGTTTTGTCCTAAAATAATATAACTTATTTATGTATTTTTTTCTTCTTTTATTAAAATTGTTTTTCAAGAAATGTGAAATATCAATTAATTTGTTCCTATCCTTTGTTCCTTTGGTCATTATTGTATATCATAAAGTTAAGAATTTACTTATTTAAAAAAAAAAGAATAATCTTGTTTGGCAAATTAAATTGAATAATATTAATTCATATATCATTTCTTATTTTCCAATAAACATTAATATTTCTAAATTAATTTAATATATATTATTATATAAAATAATTATTATAATAATTTTTTTCTCAAGTTTATTATATAAAAATATTATATTAATTTATTTTATTTTTGACTTTTTAAAACTAATTTTTACATATTTTATTTTTTTTACTAATGAAGAAAAAACTTGTTCATTTCATGAGCTCTATTGTTTGCCTTGAAACAGTTGTTTAAAAGCTTAGTTTCGAAGTCATCTTTTTAATCTATTTCAACAGTAGTTTATAAAATTCATTATTACGTTTGAAATTTTGTAATGAGTTCTATTTTTAAAGGATGTATTTGATATAAATGTTATTTATGTATGAGCCAAATAAAAAAATGTTATAGTAATTTTACAGAATAACATCTTGTTGGCTTGGAATTTCGATTATAGCGGTTGTTTGAACGCATTAATATTGTTTTTGGTGTTTGGGCTTCGTTTGGATTGAATTGAGCAAAAGTCCAAGCGTTTGAAATGGTTCGATGGACAGACAAAACGAATATAATAAATATTCATTAAGTATATTTTGAAATCGAAAGTTTTTGGATATATACGTCGAAAACTTGGCGCCAACAGAAGAGAGGAATTTGAATTTGAAATCGAACGTTTGAGCCATAGAAGACGCGTGGAAGTCTGATGAGTTTGAAGGACATGCAATCTTCGAACGTGGCGCTCTATTATAGAAAGACCGTTAGGGTCAAATTATTATAAATAGGGATCTTAATGTTAGGATTCAGGGCGTGTTCATTTTGTACAAATTACTCAATATACTCGAAGTACCAAGTGTTAGAGAAAAGAGTTGTAGAAAATGTACGTATAGACACCATTATTGTTCTTTTCGAATCATTTTACTTTATCAATATCAAGTCTTTTAACATTTCCAGTATTTCCTTTACTTTTTAGTTAAAACTTTTACTTTTTCAAGTCATTTACATTTATTCTGCATTCCCTTTACGTTTCTTTACGTTTCCAGTCGAGACCTTTGCATTACTCATTCGAAACTCTTTTATTCAAACTTACTTTAAATTATAATTCTAATCTTTATATTGTTATCAACAAAATAATATTAAACGTGAATCCCATTACAAGTTTAATCTTAGAAACTTAAACACATGTCCTAGGATCAATCTAGTCGATCTTGCAAGTCACCAAAGTATTTAGTTTTGAGGACTAGCGATTGTTTACCAAATTCACGCGTAAACAAATTGGCACGCCCAGTGAGACATTGTCGAAGTTTTTGAAAACTTGTATTTTTCTGTGAGCGTCTATCTTTCGTCGTTCATCTTTCGAGTCTGTCTTTCGTTATTGTTGTATGAACCTTAGAAGTGGTAAAATAGCCAACAGTAACCACCCAAAACCCAAAGGAAAATATACAAGAAAGATGGTTAACACAACTAGTCATGACGGGAACAAAATCCCCCACAGGGATCAGGCACGATTGTTGTAAGTTCGATGGATACATCAACCACAATCCCTCACACACAGGCCATACCTACATCTATAGGTTCGGTGGCCACAAATAATTCGACAACCATGCCTCTTTCTTCAAGTGCAGCGGGCATTCCTTCGAATGCCCAAAGTGGTCCGGTTTTTACACATGTTGGGAACCAAGCCCAATTTCCAACCCCTAGGCCTCCAGGATTTGAAACATTTAGGACACTTAGGGAACCACCACCATATGGAATGTCAACTTCTTTCATGGAAAGACTTTATAGTAGTACAACAACAACTCAATCCCCGGTATAAGGGTATGGTTCTGGGATGAATAACATGGGTTGAAATATCCAGAATCAAGAGTCTTTTACCCAAATGTCTATACTGACAACGAGCAATTAGACATCATTCAGGAAACAAATGGATGATAGTAACCATGATATGATAGGAGTCTGGATAGAGAGATGAGTACCATTTTCACTCCTTTGATCCAAAACATTAATAGAACCAATCAAGAAAATACCCACACCTATCGGCAAATATCAGCGCAGATGGCGTGCATAGCAGATTTCTTTGCTTCCCATGAAGCGCATGTTCAATGTAGGCAAAAATAGGCCCCAGTTGTTCAGGAGGAAGAACCAACCATTAACCAAGTGTGATTACCTATATAGGAGGCTGTCGAAAGAATCATATAACCAAGGGTAGAGCAACAAAGGATTCGAAATGATATCCAACAGGAACAACCTAGGAGGGTAATGGTGGTTAATAGGGATCAAAATATAGATGAAGTGGTCCATAGAGTTAGACAAGATAACATGGAAAATAACTTGACCATCATGATCGAGAGAATCATGGCGCAAAATGGTCTAAATACCAGACTTAAGGGACCAAATTATTCATCCCCTTTATCTGAATATATATTACAAACAGAATTACCAAGGGGTTGCAAAGTCCCTAAGTTTACAAATTTTTTAGGAGATACTAATGAATCCACTGTGGAGCACATAGCCAGGTATTTGACTGAAGCAAGGGATTTGGAAAATGGTGAGAATCTGAGAATAAAATACTTTTCAAGTTCATTAACAAAAAATGCTTTCACTTGGTTTACTACTTTTTCGCCAGGTTTTATAAATGCTTGGCAACACTTGGAAAGATTATTCCACGAACAATTCTACACGGGGAAATCTAAGATAAGTCTCAAAGAATTGGCCAGTATCAAGAGGAAATTCACTGAACCAATATATGATTATCTGAATAGATTTTGTTTACTGAAGTCTAGATGCTTTAAAGTTGTTCCTGAACATGAAATAGTCGAAATGGCCGCAGGAGGTTTAGACTATTCCATTCGAAAGAAATTAGATACTCAATATCTAAGAGACATGGCCCAGTTAGTAGATAGGGTTCGACAAGTAGAACGTTTAAAATCTGAAAACATTAGGGAAAATAAAAATTACAAGAAAGAGAGGGTTGCTTAGATCGAAGTCGAAGAAGAAGAATAAGAAATTCGAAATGATCCTTTTGGCTTCGAAGTGTTTGAAATAGATTTGGCAGAACTGAAACAAGCACCCTCATACTCTTGTAAAGTTCTTTCCCCATCGAATGACAAGGGCCCCATCGAAATAGAAAAAATGACAAATACCCTTAGAAAACTTACACATTTGATGTGACGAAATGTGATGAGATATTTGACTTATTAGTGAAAGATGGCCAGATGATAATGCCCCAAAATGCTAAGATTCCTCCGTTGGAACAACGGAAGAAAAGGGGTTTCAGTAAATATCATAACTTCTTAGGCCATAAAACCTCATAATGCTTTCTTTTTCAGGGATCTGATTCAGAATGCCATCAAGGATGGAAGACTCAAGTTTGGAGAGAAAGCAAAAAGTCAGATGATCATAAGTTCACTAACAATCCCAGATTGAAGAGCAACGTTCTTTAAATTTCTTGTTCCTTTGGTGTTCTTGGATGATAACATTGTTAAGATAAGTTTTGGATTGAAATTTGAAAAATGGGTTTTGCTTTTGAATTTTTTGGAAGATTGAATGTTACAGAAACGAAAGTGTGAAGATGAAGATGAAGTGTTTATAAAAGACTTATAGTGGTTGAGAAGTTTACACTATAATAAGTTAGTGGGACACGTGTGCTTTTGTTATAAGAAGACGAAGAGGTTAAGTTATTTTTTCTTGGGAACTGTTTTCATAAGTGGTAACGATGAACTGCTATGTGCACATCTGAATAGACGTTTGGAAAAAGATGATTACTTTTTATGACGTCACAACAGTAAAAGGTTATCATAAGTATATGGTTTATCGAAATTCAAGATTATTATTCAAAAATGACTATTTCTCTACATAACGAAATACACATTTTTGAGAGGCAATTTGCTGGCTTAGAATTTCGATTACAGCGGTTGTTTGAACGCATTAATATTATTTTTGGTGTTTGGGCTTCGTTTAGATTGAATTGAGTAAAAGCCCAAACGTTTGAAATAGTTCAATTGACAGACAAAACGAATATAATAAATATTCATTAAGTATATTTTGAAATCAAAAGTTTTTGGATATATACGTCGAAAACTTGGCGCCAACAGAAGAGAGGAATTTGAATTTGAAATCGAATGTTTGAGTCATAGAAGACGCGTGTAAGTTTGATGGGTCCGAAGGACATGCAATCTTCGAACATGACACTCTATTATAGAAAGACCGTTATGGTCAAATTAGTATAAATAGGGATCTTAATGTTAGGATTCAGAGGATGTTCATTTTGTACAAATTACTCAATATACTCAAAGTACCAAGTGTTAGAGAAAAGAGTTGTAGAAAATGTACGTATAGACACCATTATTGTTCTTTTCGAATCATTTTACTTTATCAATATCAAGTCTTTTAACATTTACAATATTTCCTTTACTTTTTAGTTAAAACTTTTACTTTTTCAAGTCATTTATATTTATTCTGCATTTCCTTTACGTTTTTTTACGTT